CATGATGTGAACGTAGGATGGCACCTGGTCGTGGACGAGGACGTCCAGTCCCAGAGGAGGGGAGATGTGGAAATCCTTCCCAGCCTGATCATATGCAAGAAATGAGGAATTTACTGATGGAGCTCATCACTACTGTGAGACAACAGGGAGCAGCACCAGCTCCACAACCGGTCCCTCCCCCCCCACCGCCTTATGTACCACCACCTCCACCTCCCGTACAACCGGCTGCAGCTCCTGCACCTGCACCACCTGTGATGAATGCGGAATTTTTCCAGTTCCTTGATCGAGTGGAGCGTCGTACAGCTCCAAGATTTGGTGGTACATCTGATCCAGATGTGGCAGAGGATTGGTTGGATAGGATGACTCAGATATTTGATCTTATCCAGTGTCCTGATCTTTTTAGGGCACACATATCCATCTACCATCTGGATGGAGAGGCGAGACACTGGTGGAAAGGAGTTGCCCAACCATTTGGGGTAAACTATCAGTTCACTTGGGGACAGTTCGTCCATGCATTTCGAGAGAAATATTACTCACCTGGAGTACAAGAGGAGATGGCGATGAAGCTTATTAGCCTTCAACAAGGAAATCGTTCAGTGAAAGAATATGAGAGGGAATTCAATTCATTGGCTAGATATGGAGGTGAGATGCTGCAAACAGAGACCTTAAGGGTAAAGAAGTTCGTAAGAGGACTTCGTCCATCTCTCAAGGCAAAGGTAGGTTTCGAACAACCACATATATCTCATTGAGATAATGTTACCTTGCTAATTTGAGATTGTTTATCTATAGGTGGAACTTTTGAAAATTAACTCGATGTCAGAAATAGTTGATATGGCTGATCGAGCTGAGAGAACAGAACGTGAAATCGAAGCATCTACTAAGAGGTCGACTAACCCCAGTCATAGGCGTCTAGTCCAAGATGACAGGAGTAAGGGCAAGGCGGTTGTGCAACCTTATACATCCGGTATCCCGATGTGCTCACAATGTGGGAGACGTCACTTTGGCGAGTGTAGATTGCTCCAGATTACTTGTTTCCACTGTGGAAGGGCGGGACATTATAAGAGCGATTGTCCCGAGTTAAAAAGAGAAGCACCTAAGAGGATTGAACAAAGACCAGTTCATCAACAACCAGCTGCTAAGAGACCAGCGGTGAAGCCTAGGGCCTATGCTCTAGGAACTGAAGAGCAAGAGGAAGAAGAAACGACAACAATCATAGGTATGTTGATATTTCATTTAAATATAATAGGAAATCGTGATAAATATGGCTAGTTAAAACTAATTTCGAATGTAGGTGTGGTTAATTAGTTATAGGTGTAATTCACTGGTCATATCATTTCTCTTCTTAGGTATGTTGAGTATTGGAGGTGAACAAACTCATACCCTTTTTGATACGGGGGCGACACATAGTTTTGTTTCGCCCACACACGTAAATCGCATGAAGATTGCACCTGATATTAATAGTGGTAGAGTATTGGTCCATACACCTGGTGGAGAGGAAATGGAATCGAAAGGAATGATTCGTGAGTTATCGGTTTTGATTGGTATACATGACTTACCTGTTCATCTGATAGTGGTACCAATCAAGGGATATGATGTGATTTTGGGTATGGATTGGTTATCAAGTCATCGAGCTCATCTTGATTGTAAGAGAGGTAGAGTTCGTTTTGAACAAGAGGGATCCTTGGTACTAGAGTTTGAGGGTGCAAGAAAGACTTCAAGTTTGCCTTTTATTTCAGCAGTGCGGGTAAACCGGCTAATTCAACAAGGGAGTGAGGCATATTTGGCGGTAATAGAATTAAACGGACCGGAAACATCAAGTAGACTAGAGGATATACCGGTTGTTAATGATTTTCCTGATGTCTTTCCGGAAGATCTACAGGGAATACCTCCTCTAAGAGAGATATCTTTTCCTATTGAGTTGAAACAGGGAGTTGAACCTATCTCT